CACTAGCGCACAGCACATGACATTTTCATTATTCTCCTTCTTACTTTTTTCCCACTTATTTGGTCTTCTCTTCCTCCATCTCTGCTATCTTCCAAGACAGTCTAAATAGGTCTAGAATCACAGTTCTGAAATATTCTAGTATTGTAAGACTCTCTGGGATCCTCCCTTTTACTGAACCACCTGCAAAAAAGGATATACTTTTCTTCAGACACCTGAATAAAATACTCCTCCTTGGACCACATTGCTAAACACAACAGAAGAGAGACTTTGGCAGTCTTCGGTCCACAGCAAAAGGGAAACACTTGCTCCTAGTTGAAGAAACATTCTCCTAAAGGATATTTCAACTTGAATACATCTCCCAATGGCTAGAAGTAGAAGAGCATCAGGTCTGAATAAACCAGGAAATATGTCTGAATCAAAAGAAAACAGTGACTCCCTTCCATTTGTTGAGAAAACAAAGGACATTATCAAAATGTCTGAGAAAAATTTAGAGCATTCATTGTGACCAAATTGTATGAGTTGAAATAGAAAAGAGACAATGAACTACATGAGATTGGAAGTCCTTCCTTGATATGAAAGAAGAAATGGATACGCTAAGAAAGAATCATATGGAACTATTAGAGATAAAGACTGTAATACAAAAAATCAAAAACTCTCTTGAAAGTATTAAAAGTCAATTAGACCATGCTGAAGATTGAAACTCTGATGTAGGAGATAAAATTTCTGACCTAGAGAAGACCACCAAAAATATAGAGAATATAACAAAATAACATGAGGATAACATATGAGAAATGCTAGATCCCATTAGACACCCTAACATCCAAATAATTGGTATCCCAGAAGCTGAAGAACTAATAAGGACATGAAAAATCTATTTCATGAAATCCTGGAAAAATTTTTTGCAAGTCTAGAGAGGCAATCAAACATCCAGACCCAAGAAATACAAAGAACCCCAAAGAGAATCAACCCAAGAAGATCTTTCCCAAGGCATGTCTTACCCAGACTGGCAAAGACCACAGATAAAGACAAGATATTAAAACTGGCAGGAGAGAAACTACAAGTGATTTACAAAGGTCACCCCATCAGGCTAACACTGGACTTCTCAATGGAAGAAACAATGCAAGGAAGAAAGAATGGGAAGACGTGTTGAAAGTGTTAAGAGAGAAACAATTTCAACCAAGATTATTATATCCTGCAAGATTATCCTTCATATTGGATAAAACGATTAAAATATTCTCAGAAAAACAAGACCTGAAAGAATTTGCAAACACCAGATCAGCTCTTCAACAAACCCTGAAACAGTACCATTCCAGGAAAACTGAAGAAGTAACATCCAGAAACAAAGGAAGAAAAGGCAACTAAGACAATGGCCAACTTAAGCGTCGGGACAGGTCCAGTAAAATTGATAATAACATTGAATGTTAATGGATTAAATTGTCCAATTAAGAGACACAGACTGGATGAATGGATTAAAAAAAAAGAAACCCTCTGTTGTCTAGAGGAAACCCACATCATGGTTAAAGACATACATAGACTGAAAGTGAACAGTTGGAAAAGGTTTTCCACGCAAGTGGAAATCAAAAAAGAGCTGGAGTCATGATACTGATTCTAACAAAATAAGCTTTAAAACAAAAACCGTTCAAAGAGACAAAGAAGGACACTATATTGTAGTAAAAGGATCAATAGATCAAGAACAAATAACGCTTATAAATATCTATGCACCTAACACAGGAGCATACAAATATGTAAAGAAAACACTGTTACATCTAAAAGGGGAAATAGACTGCAACACACTAAATGTTGGAGACTTCAACGTTGCACTATCTCCTCTGGACAGATCATCTAGACAAAAAAATAGGTAAAGAGATAAAGGATCTACATGATACCATAAATCAAATGGACTTAACAGACATCTATAGAACTTTCCATCCAAAAACCACTTTTTTCTCACCCCCGCATAAAGCCTTTTCTAAGATTGACCACATCATAGGGCAGAAAGCAAGCCTCTACAGATTCAAAGGCATAAAAACTATATTCAGCATCTTCTCTGACAATGATGGAATTAAGCATGAGTTTAATTTCAAGAGAAATCCTCAAAAATGCCAAAATACATAGAAACTAAATAATCTACTCCTGAATGACTCCACAACTACTGAAGAAATAAAGACAAAAATCAAAAGATTCATGGAAGCCAATGACAATAAGGACACGAGTTTCCATAATCTTTGGGACACTACTAAAGCAGTTATAAGAGGAAAGTTTATAGCAATTAGTGCACATAAGAGGAAGATGGAAAGAAGGCAAATGGATCACCTAATATCATGCCTTAGAGAATTGGAAAAGCAATAGCAAAAAAATCCAAAAAAACTCCAGACAAAGGAAATAATAAAGGTACAAGCAGAAATAAATGAAATAGAAAATAAGCAAACTATACAAAAAATAAATGAAAGTAAAAGCTGGTTCTTTGAAAAGATAAACAAAATCAATAAACCACTAGTGAGACTTATTAAGAAGAAGAGAGAAAGGAACCAGGTGAATCAAATCTGCAATGAAGCAGGAAAAATAACAAAAGACATAGAATTAATACAAAACATTATTAGAGGATACTATGAACATCTATAGGCCGAGAAACAAGACAACTTAGATGAGATGGACAAATTCCTAGACACATATAATCTATCAAGATGTTGCCAGGAGGATATAGAAAGTCTGAATAGGCCAATAACAAGACAGGAGATTGAATCAGTAATAAATAACCTCCCAACAGAGAAAAGCCCTGGCCCTGTTGCCTTCTCAAAATTCTACAAAACTTTCAAAAAAGAGTTAAACCCCATTATGCTCAAGTTATTTCTAAAGACACCAATATCTCTGATGAATATAGACACAAATCATGTGTCTATAATAAAATTTGTCTAGAATCATAAAAGATTCCGTATTACTAAAGTAATTCTGCACAAGAAGAGTGGAGTGGGTGGCATCAAACTTGCTGACCCAAAAATATACTACAAAGGTGTAGTAATCTAAACACCATGCTACTGGCACAGAAACAGATATGTGGACCAATGGAACATGATAGACTTCCCAGAAATAAATGCTCAAACATACAGTCAACTGATTTTTGACAAGGGGTACCAGTCAATCCAGTGGAAAAAGGGAAGCCTCTTCAGCAAATTGTGCTGGAGAAACTAGATTTCCAGTTGCAGAAAGATGAATCTGAACCCCTATCTCTCACCTTTCACAAAAATCAAGTCAAGGTAGATCAAAGATCTAAATCTAAGACCTCAAACTATAAAACCTCTTCTGGAAAACACTGGGGAAACTCTGGTAGATATTGGGGCATGGAAAAACTTCTTAAATAAGACCCCAAAAGCACAGTCAATAATCCTCACAATAGACAAGTGGGATTATTTCAGAGTAAGAAGTTTCTGCATGGGAATAGACACAATAATTAGCCCTCAGAATGGGAAAATATTTTTGTAAACTATGCGTCAGATAAGATACTGATAACCAGAATACAAAGGGAACTCAAGCAGCTGTTCTGAAAAAAGATGATCAATCCTATTAAAAGATGGGAGAATGAGTTGAAAAAAAAAAAAAGCTCTCTAAAGATGACGTACGAATAGCTAAAATGCATATGAAAAAATGCTCAACTTCCTCATTGTAAGGGAAATGCAGATCAAAACAACAATGAGGGGACCAGCAGTTAGTGTAATGGCTATGTCACTGGACTCCCACGTAGTCAACCGCGGTTCGTGTCCCAGACCCGGTGGCTTATGAGGAAGGGGGGAGGTGATTTCTCTCTGTCTCTCTGTCTGTCCAGTGAGTGCACATGCTCTATAGAGGAGAAAAAAAAAAACTTCTCCAAAAAAAGACAAAACAAAACAAAAACAACAATGAGATACCACCTAACCACAGTCAGAATGACTAAGATAAAAAAAAAATAGTAAGTGCTGGCGGGGGTGTGGTGAAAGGGGAACTAACTCTCTTACACTACTGGTGGAAATGTAAATTGGTCCAGCCACTGTGGAGAACAATTTGAAGATTTCTCCAAAATCTACAAATAGAATTACCATATGATCCAGTAATTCCACTCCTTGGTATCTACTCAAAGGGTAGAAGAATTTTTAATTGGAAAAGTGCTTGCACATCGATGTTTATTGCGGCACTATTTACATTTGCTAAGACATGGAACCAACCCAAATGCCCATGAACAGATGAATGGATAGAAATACTGTGACACATATACTCTATGGAATACTATTCAGCCATAAACAAAACAAAACAAAACAAAATAAAACCCTGGCTTTTGAGAGAAAACAGAAGAATATGAAAGATTTACTGCAAGGTTTCCATAAAGGTGAGTCTGAGTGTGAAGAAGGACGCTTGGGGTTTTTGAGAACCATAGTTTTGGAATAGTGCTTCTCTTGGTGGGAGCAGAAACATGGGTGGATATCAGGTGGAGGAGAAGGGGCACATGAAGGAAGGGGAGCCCCTGATCTGGGCTAGGGAAAGCAACAGGAGCATTGGGATGTACAGGTCCAGGGTGAGGAAAGAGGTGACCTGGACTTTCCTTCCATCAATTGCTTTGTCAGAAAGTGGATTTTTGCATTCCAGTGTACAAATGTGATTCCTTCCAGAAACTCTGAATTTGGGGTGACACAGTCCAAGATGGGTGTAGGGTAGATTTGTTATATTCTTATCAGGGAGAAAGAAGAGGACATCCAGTCATAGCAAAATTATAGGAGTCTTTATTACCAGAGACTGCAGGAACACTCATGTCTCTCAAAGACCCTGAAGCCCTGAGTATAAGGAGAGTAGTGCTTGTAAAGGCAAAAACCACATTTGAGTTGACTAGACAGGAGCAGTAACTGTTGAGGAGGGGCTGGAGAAGAAAGGGAGAAGGACTTCCTATGTAAAGGCAGTTACAGAAGTCAGATCAAGCAGGTTAATAATTTCTAAGGGCAATTTTCAGTTCCTTGCCTAAACATAATAGAATCTGAATGGTCTTCATGGCTCAAGGCAAGGGGGTTATTGATAAGGACCATCTTAAGGTAGGGAGTTTCCAGTTATTTAGCAAAGACAGTAGAAATATTAATAGTTCTGTTTAGGCAAAAAAGAGGAAGCAAGTTTCCAATAAAGCTAGTTCAAAATGGAGGGTCTCATGTTTCAGGTTGAGGAGCTAAGGGGTCTGACGGCAATGAGTTCAGCTTCCAGTTCTGTTACAGGATCTTGATGAGAGGCTGTTAACTCTCTCCACTCCTACTAAATATAGTACTAGAAGTCCTAGCCAATGCAATCAGACAAGAGAATGAAATAGAAAAAGCTAAAGTTACTTCTGTTGGCAGATGACATGATTGTATACATGGAAAATCCAATACTGTCCATAGAGAAACTTCTCAAAGTAATAAATGCGTACAGTAAAGTGGCAGGATACAAAATTAAATTACAAAAATCTATAGCATTTCTATATACAAACAACAAACAGACAGATGTAGAACTGAAGAAAGTAATCCCATTAAAAAAAAAAAACATAAGATACTAGAAATAAAACTGACCAAGGGAGTTAAGGACCTCTATAAGGAAAACTATAAAAATATTTTAAAGGAAATTTAAAAAGACAAAAAAGAAGAACATCCCATTACCTGGAATGGGAGAATTAATATAATCAACATGGCAATCCTACCCAAACTAATCTACATATTTAATGCAATTCCTGCAAAATTACAAGAGACAGTCTTTACAGATCTAGAAAAGACAATCATAGTTTTTTTCTGAAATTATAAAGGACCACGTATTGCAAAAGCCATCCTGCATAAGAAGAGTGGAGTGGGTGGCATTTCTCTTCCTGACTCCAAAATATATTACAAAGCTGTGATAATCAAAACAGTGTGGTATTGGCACAAAAACAAACATGAAGACCAATGGGACAGAGTATAGACCCTAGAAATAAACCTCAAAATATACAGCAAAATCATCTTTGACAAAGGGTACCAATCAATCCAGTGGGAAAAGGAAAACTTCTTTAGCAAATGGTGCTGGAAAAACTGGGTATCCTCCTGCACAAAGACTAATCTGAACCCCTATCTCTCACCATTAACAAAAATCAACTCAAAGTGGCTCAAAGATCTAAACCTGACTACAAACTATAAAACTACTGCTGGGAAAACTCTGGGAGATATTGGGGTAGGTAAAGACTTCTTAATCAAGACCCTCAAACTACAGGCAATAATCTCCAAAATAGACAGGTGGGATTACATCAGATTAAAATTTTCAGCACAAGAAATGACACAGTAATTAGCATGAATCAATCATCCTCGGAATGGGAGATAATTTTTGTTAACTATGTCTCAGATAAGGGACTGATAATGCACAGGGAACTCAAGCAACTAACCTGGAAGAAAATGGTTAACCCAATTAAAAGATGAGAAAGTGAACTGAATAAACAACTCTCTAAGGAAGATATATGAATAGACAAAAAGCATATGAAAAAATTCTCAACATCCCTCAACATCATAAGGGAGATGCAGGTCAAAACCACAATGAGATATCACCTAATCCCAGTCACAATGGAAAATACTAAAACAACAAAAAATGATAAGTGTTGGATGGAATGTGGTGAAAGGGGAACTCTCCTACATTGTTGGTGGAAATGTAAGTTGGTCCAGCCACTTTGGAGAATAATATGGAGAGTCCTCAAAGGCCTTCAAATAGAACTACCATATGATCCAGCAATTCCACTCCTGGGGATCTACCCAAAGGACAGGAGAATGCTCTGACAGAAAAGAGCTTGCAGGGAACCAGCAATTAGCATAATGGCTATGTCGCTGGACTCTCATGTAGTCGACTGTGGTTCGCGTCCCAGACCCAGTGGCTTAAAACTCACGCCGGGCGCGTGTGCGTGCGTGCCCAAGATCCTGAGAGGAAAAAAGAAAAGAGCTTGCACAACTATATTTATTGCAGCTTTACTCATGATTGGTTAGCCATGGAACCAAACCACATGTCAACAAACAAATGAATGAACTGAAAAAGTGTGGCATATATACTCCATAGAATACTATTCAGTCATAAAAACAAGGCCCTGGCATTTGATAGAAAGTGGATGAACATGGAAAATTTATTGCTGAGTGAAAACAAGTCAGGCTATAAAACAGTGACATGTATGTATCCACTTAACATATACTGACTGAAAACATTCTATGGTAGAGACTGAGAAATTGGAAGTCATAAAAACATTGAAAATTGTTATGGACACTGGGGACAAAGTGGAAGGAGAGTGGGAGATGGGAAGAGTGCAGGAAGGAAAGTTTGGGAAAAAATTGAGAAGACATTTGTGGGACACAGATGTGGTTTGTTGTCTGTTGGTGATGTCATGTGTAGTATTATGAATTCACCTGATCTGTGGCATATATCATGTTTGGTAAAATCTCGTTACAAACTAAATGATGTATAATAATTGAATGTATAAATAATAATAATAAATTTTAAAAATAATGAGGAAATTGTCTTTAGGACTCTGTGTTGAAAATTGATCTATGGCAGCAACTGCAGATGGCACAAAGTTTACTTCACTGGACTCTCACATAGTGAACTGTGGTTGAATCCCAGACCCATTGGCTTAAAACTCATGCTGAGCACTGGTGTGTGTGTGTGTGTGTGTGTGTGTGTGTGTGTGTGTGTGTCCAAAAATCCTGAGAGGACAATGGGGTAGAAGGGATAGGATTGTAATATGACCATCCCCCTTCAGGGGTGATTTCTTATTTTCTATCTTACTGTCTCTGTCTTTTTGTGTCCTGGGTGAGCACATTCAACCTATAGCAAAATTCTCTCTCTAAAAACAAAGAAACAAAAACTTATCTATGGCTTCATCCAATTTGGCCACTAAGTGCTTTTTTAGAGAGTCATTTGTGCTATAGCATGTGTGTGCTCACTGGAAAGACAGAAACACACAGGAAGAAATCACATCCCACAATCCCTTCTCCTTAATTTTTCTAGGATTTGGGGCACAAATGCACACTTATGAGGAAGGAGTTCAAAGCTGCTGAGTCAGGGACTTGAACCATGGTTAGCAATGTGTGAGTCTAGAAACTTAACCACAATGGTACTCATTGGTCCAATTTTATGGATATTAACAGCATCAAAAAATACAAATACTAATATCAGTTTTGTGATACAAAGACTTTGGACCTCTCTTGGTCACAAAATTATAAAGCTTGTTTTCTCAGGATAGGATGGTTCCCAAAGTTTTACTTGGCCATTATGAAATCATAAAGGCTGGGGGAGAAAAATGGGCAAAATATGTTTTTACCAAATTGTTTTTCACGAAAATGGAGGGTGACAGGTGCAGAGCCCCAGGGTGGAGAGATCCCCAGAGTTCCTGGATGGGACTTAAGTGAAACAGTAAAATGTCAGGAAAATCAGAGCTGCTCAGATTAGGCATGAGTCTCAGCACCATGGTTCCTGTAGAAAGGACTTTTATAGTGTTTCTATATATGTCTTTTTGTGTCATACCAGTCTGGCACATGTTTTGGATAGGTCGAAGGCAGTGCATGTAAGTAAGAATCCCCTGTGCCTTCCACAGAGTTGACTCTCCCAACAGAGAACTGAGCCTATAGACAGAATCCAGTTCCATCTCCTCAGCTCACTTTTTATCTGTTGAGCCAGCTCAGACATGTCATTATCTTTGATTAGTGTCTTGCTACTTCTGCAGCCTTTACAAACGGCATGTGAGATGACACATATTAGTTGTCGTATGTACGTGAAGCCAAGTATCTACAAAGATGGGGATCTGGTACTGGCTGGGTTTTTCCCCATTTATGGCATGGAGGAACAAACTATACTTGCACAAAATTATCTGATAAGGCCAACTCAAGAAGTGACAGATGACTGGTAAGTTGTTGGTTATATGTATCTGAAAATGTGATTATAACCATGTAATAAAGTTGTTTGCATATATATGTGGTGTGTGATTAATCTCACTTGAGAATGATCACATGTGCACAGAAATGAGAGAAGCGTAGAATTGTGAACTCAGGACGTTCTGCCTTGTTATCCTCTTATCATCTTTCTTTTTCTTATTTTCAATGTTTCTCCATTTCTTTCAAGATAAAAGAGAGAAATTAATAGTTGTCCATTTTGTTAGCACTATTCCCATAATCAGTCTTTGAGAGGCTCAGAATGAGTGAAATTATTTTTACCTTAGCCCTTTTGCAACCAAGACCTGTAGAGTGAGACCCACATGCATATTGAGACACTGACCCCCTGACATAAAGTTAATTTTAGCATCAAAATGCTCACTCTGAGCATTCACCACTGACAAAAGGATTGTAGAAATGTGCTTTGTATAGAAGTCATGGGTATGTAAAGGCCACCATAATATATTAACCAGGAAGGATGGCTACTCTTCAATCCAATCTCCATTCTCCTCTCAGACTTGCACATATACCCTGCATCAATTTCATGCTGCCAGGCCTCAAACTAATACTATAGTCAGCCATGTGGAAATCAAGAGCCTTAAACACCATGCCACCTGTTTGTCCCTTCTCACATTTTAAAGCAGAGTAAAGAATGCTTCAAGTCCTCAAAAAATATATGGGAGGTTTAACTATGAGATTTTGCAGTACTTCAGGATTATTATCTTCAACTCTGAATATAGTGAGGACAAGTAAGAACAAGTTGGGAGTAATAGGATAGAAAATTACTAAGTGGTAACATTACAGGTAATGGAAATTCTGGCCAAATTCACTTGTGTGAGTTTTATACAAGTGTGCAGATCGGACTAGACAAATTCTTTGAAGTCTGATTAAAGTTTTATCAAGGGACAAGCAGGTGACCCAGCGGTTAAGGAGCTCTACTCCCACATGGTCAAGATTTGAGTTGCAGACCCAGCAGCTTGAAACTTACTCTGTGCTACACACAGTGACGGGTTTCAGTCTGATTTTAGCCCAGCAACAGGAGTCATAAATTCCTCTGAGACTTGTAATGGGGTCACAGTGAACATTGATTAGACACAGAAATCAAAACCACAGTAAGTCAACTATGCAGAGCCCATCCCTATCTACCTATAGTGGAGTCAAACTCCTTACTCACCATGGAGTTTAAGGCAGTTGGATTCCATATGGCTGACTACATTGTTTGAATACTGAATAAAGATGCCTGAGAAATATGCCAGGTGAAAGTTTGCCTGCCTATCCAATCATCCTAAGTACAAAATTTTAAAAGAAGGGATTGTGAAATTATCATCTTCCAGAGGGTGATTTCTCACCTTTTTTTTTTTTTCTCAATACCTCCCTTTCTCTCTGTGTTTCTGTATGGTGAGTGCCCACATCCTATAAAAACAACAAAAAAGTAACAGTAAAATATAATGACTCAGGAAAAGTAGAGTTCTGTTTGAATGAAAATATTTAGTGTACCATCCTTTATTAACATATCAGCGGACCAGCAAATGACATGGCAGTTATGTAGCTGGACTCTCACATGACTGACTTTGGTGTGGCCCTCCCCCGCAGGAGGTGATTTCTCACTTTTCCTCACAGTTTATGTCAATCCCTTTTTTTGTCAAATGCATGTGCATTTAAGCAAAAGCCTCTCCAAACAAAACAAAACAAAACAAAACAATGCATGTGCATTTAGGCAAAAGCCTCTCCATAAACAAAACAAAAGAAAGAAAGGAAACTTCCAAATGTTTAGATCAAATGTTTCTCGTATGGCTGACTATGTGGTTTGAGTACTGAATAAAGTGGCCTGAAATACATGCCACGCAGATGTGTGCTTGCCTATTCATCATCTCAAATGCAGAATAAAAGAAAAAGACCTGTGGCATGACAATTTTCCAGGAGGTTATTTCTCACTTTCTTTTTCTCTCCTGTCTCTTTCTCTCTCTCTCTCTTTCTCTCTGTCTCTCTCTGGTGAGTGCACATACTGTATAACCAAAAAAAAAAAAAAAAAAAA